TGGTGGCTCACCCGTGGCGGCGGAGGGACCTGCTCGCCTGCTCCTGCCTCACCTGCCTCAGTGCCAAGCCAGTCGCACGAGAGCCATGGCACTGAGTGGTGGTGGCGGTGGATGAGAGAGAGAGGAAATAAGAGAGAAGCGGAGAGCCGAGAACGAAATAAGAGAGAGCCAGAGAGGTAAAAGCGTATACATGGAAGTGTGTACGTGTGTGTACCTGTAACTCCCACACTTTACCTTTGCTTGATTGGATTCTACGGTATTGATTCAGGTGTATTGGGACATGGGCGGGGGTGCCTCGAGGGGCGCACTGAATGGCACTCGAGACATTGTTATTCCTGAGTGCCATTATGACTGAAGGAGAGTGAAAGTGTGTCAGTGTAAGAGTGCCAGTGCGGCTTGGCACTGCGGCTCACGGGGGAGGAGGAGGGCAGGAATGTGTTATTCGCCCGTTATTTCTCGTGGTTTTTAATACGCGTCTCTTGTTCTGATGTCTGCCAGCTGAAGAGGGAGTTGGCTTTTGGTGTCTGTCATATGGCAACCATTGATAAAACAGACAGTTTGATATGACATGACCCGAGAGAGAGAAAAACGGAGCTTGATGTCGTTGGATTAGGATATGGATAATGTTTTTATTTTACTTACAATGTGATGATTAGATATATTTTCTCCTACAGTAATGCTTTTGGTCATGTAGTTTATCATTAATAAACAGAAGTAACAAGAGTGTAAATTAGTGTTGAGTACACTTTCTTTATGGCCAAGGATCATAAATTATAGTACTTATGTAATGACTGTTATTACATTTGAAACAGTACTTAGAGGTATGTAAAATAAAAGGCATATATAGTGTTTTCATGTAAATATAGGCCACAGATTTAGATAATAGATTAACTTAATTACATGGTCATTTCTCTAAATTTTCTATTTTTCTAACATTGGTCAGTTATGTATTGGTTTTAAGATTGTTTCTGATAGTATTTTTATATGTATGGTTTGGTTGTATAACTAAAACTTTAATGTTACATTATTGAAACACATTTACAGAATATTATTGACATGAAATTTCAAATTCTCTATGTACAAAGAGATATATTAATCATAAATTATATATATTGAGTGAAATGAATACAATCCATAGATTGAAATATATAGTAGAAAAGGTGAAATAAATCATGAAATATATTTTTTAAACCCTTGAGTATTAGTGACCTAAAACTATATAACTCATATAATTTACTTTCTATTTTTTTCAATACTTCTTATTCCCTAGACATAGACGTGATTTTTCTTTCCATCAGTAACAGAATTACCCACTTTAGGCACTAATATTTGAGAACTCAGGCCAGGAAAGGAGTGGTTAATCAAAAGAGCTCAAATGTGTATATATAAATCTGCAGTGACATGCTTGTTTACATTTTTATGTGACATTTGGGAGGTGTTTATGGTTAATTACTGGTTATATGACATGCTTTTTATTCACAAACATCACCATGATATAGCAGTTTTAAGGAGTTAGTGCTGAATGGGATTTCAGCTACAGGGAAAATGTATATAATTATCAGAGTATCAGATTTAGTTCAGAACATTGAAAAACAGGAACCATGAGACTCAGAACATATTACTAGAATTAAGAGTTCATTCTTATAATGAAAATCAGAATATGATTATTACTTACCATTATGAGATATTCATATGAATCACTAAGTATTTTGTTATAGTTATTAAGTTACATCAACATTAATTACAGGTTTGTGCATATTCTTGCAAATGCACATGTATACATATAAATAGATTTTATGATTATGTAATATTATGTAATCCTTTTGTCGGTGAAATACCACAATTGGGTGGGACTAAGAGCAAAGCCTGGAGTACGGAAGGATTTTGATTCATAAACTGATGTTTGTGAATTCCTAGGAGTGCCCCCAAGGCTAGGGTAATAATGACTTAGTCTCAGAGGGGTGCAGTCATATGTCAAATTTCCTGTTTTACCCCCAAAAATTATTTCCTGGAACTTACTCCCCTCCCCCCCTATATTCCAGAGCACTAGAATAGCAAGATTTCTTAAGTACACAGTTCATTGGTTAAATGGAAACAGCAAAGTCATGAATACACAGGAATATTTACTGAAAATCAAATCTTCCTTTCTGTTTAGGTTGGAGTTTTGTATCGTCCACGTCCTCAATGGACCCAGACAGCACCCAGAATGGGGTCAGTAAGAAGATGGGCCTTGCTCGCCTGGCCAAGGCTCGCAGCATCTCCAACAGCCTAAACAACCTGCAGTTCATTGATGATAACCCTGAGGGTAAAGGAGGTAGCTAGAAACTAACTGACTAACTGCATTGATCCCTTGAGAATATGTAGATGTGGCCTTTTTGTGTGTGTGTGTGTGTGTGAGTGTGGGCATGGGCATGAGCATAAGTATGTGTGTGTATGTGTTTGTGTATGTGTGTGTGTGTTCGCGCTTGTGTGTATGCATGTGTGTGCATATGCACATGTGAGATAGGCATGTCTACATTATGGACAGAGCATACGTATGTGAGAATGTTTTATGTATGTGTGGATGGGTGTATGTATGTCTGTATGTATGTGTATCATTACAAAAAAATTGTGTATGTCTCCCATTACTGAATACATATGGAAATATGATACAGTATACATGAAAGCATATCAGTATTTTTTTACTTCATTAATTAAACCTGTGTGATTGTTGAATGTATCTGGAAAATTTCTCTTGTAAGTACATGCATTTAGTAGTTTACCTGCATATTCTCTTACCTAATATCTAATGTAGTTTGATAAGTTTCTTCTTCATTAATGATCTATCAGCACTGTTCCCTGGTATAGCACTGCACATGGTAAGAAAATAATGTTAGTGATCACCTGTTACATTGTTTTAATAGTTCTGTACTAAAGCATGAACTGTTGTGCCTTTAAAGTAGTGTGTATCCCATATGAATGTGGATGATACACAAACTTTATTTTATAGGCTGAGATAGTAGCTATTGAGAATTTCCAATTTTTGAAATATATATATATATATATAATAAATTGCACTTTTGTACATGCACTAGGTAATTGTTTAATTTTGTGATAATATGATAACTCAGCATAGTTTATATGTAATGAAACTACATCAAAATCAAATTACAAAAATATCAGTTAATGTTGTTGTTTTTTCCTTTCTTTTTCTTCTTGTTTTCTCTTTTCTTCATTATTCAGAAATCTGTTGAAATTTGATTTTATTTTTCCCTTTTCAATATACTTTTTTTTTCTTGCTCTTACTTAATTTTTTCAATGTAGTATATTTTGGATTTATCAACAAATATATGATTTTGTGCAAAGTTCATAAGAGCTCTGCCATATCTAGATGATATTTTATTACAACCGCTGAAATTCTTTTGCAAAACATTTAAGTATCCAATGACAAACAGTGTCTTAAAATAGAGCAAGCTTTAAATAGATGGTTTCATTTGCATGGTTTCAGTATGACATAATATGATAAAAGTGATTCATAAAAGATACTTCTGTGCCTCTTTTTGTTATATTATCATTTGCATTAAGTGTAAGTTTCACTCCACATTGGAATCTAGGACAGTTCTCCCATGCAAAAAAGTGAGATTATTTTAAGTTATTCTTTTTCAGAGATTCTATCTTTTAATTGTTATGGCAAAGTTTTCTTCTTTGTTACTTATTTTGTTTTGAGATTTTGCTTTTTATTTATGCATATCTGTATTTTGCTCTCAAATTTAATTAAACATGTTTTGTAATACATCCTTTTGTTTTCACCTTAAACCCAAGAACTTACAAGATACTCAGACATGCTAACCTCTGACTTCACAATTCCTGCAGTTGTCCTGACCACCCCAACCCAGTCCCCACAATCCCCTCTCAACCTCCCCAGCCTCCCCAATGATACTCTGCGAGCCCAGGAACAACACACTGAAGTACAAGGCTCACCCCTGAGGAGCTTCAGCAGGCAAGGAGCTGGCGTCAACTTATTGCCAAACAAAATGAATGTGTCTACGCTGAGTGGACAGCCAACAGAAAAGAAAAACAAGGGTGCAAGTCCAGATGACGATGTGGTTTCTGTAGATTCAAGTCATGGGCAGGTGCCTTGTAGTGACCCTGATTTTATAAGAGGTGGGAAGTCAGGAATAAAGGGAAGTCCACCTCAACAGAAGATTGCTGCTGAAGGGGACAGGCAGAGTGTAAAGTCTGACAGCATGAACAGTGGTGATTCACCTGGGAAGAAGAGTGAGTCTTCATCTGGTTCACCTGGGAAGAAGAGCGAGTCTTCGTCTGGCTCCTCTGGATTTTACTCGCCCATGCTAGCTAGGCGTTCCCGCCTGGAGCCTCCAAAAGTCAAGCGGTCAAGATCTCTGACACGCCTCACAGAAGCCATAAATCAGATACATAACCTTTGTGTTTTCCCAGCCCAGCCAGCAGTTGCTCCTGAAGTAAGTCATTATTCAGAGCTTGAGAATGTAGTCTTTAAAAAATCAGAATAAACACACAAGCTGTATTTATTATTAAGAAGAGCATTATAATGAATTTTAAAGATCTGATATATTACTTTGAATGTATTTGGATGCATAATACACTTGATGTTATTTGTACACTATAGCTGAATAACATCTTACTCATCTTGCCTATTTTTCTGTTAGAATCAGAAAGGAGGCTCCCCACCAAGCAGCCCTTCACACCAGCCTGTCAGTCTTCACCTCTCAGCCCCAGAGGTAATGGGCGCCTTCACCCTCACCCCCCTCATTGCCACGCACAGTAGAATAGACAAAGACCGTACCCAGTCTCCCAGGCTTTCAAGGCGGTCTGCGTTCAGGGAGACCCCCCAAGATCGAAAACAGCCCAGCATGTATTCCCTTGATGCAGTTGCCTCCCAACCCAGTAGTTGCCCTGATAAGAATTCAAGCCTTGAGGATATAACACCTTTACCCCATGTGACCAACCCGAGTGATTCACCTCCTAGTCTTTCACGTGCG